TGCACTGCCTCCCCTGCCTCTGCACTGCCTCCCCTGCCTCTGCACTGTCTCCCCTATATCTGTACTGCTGCTCCTGTCTCTGCACTGCCTCCTCTGCCTCTGCACTGACTCCCCTGCCTCTGCACTGACTCCCCTGCCTCTGCACTGTCTCCCCTGCCTCTTCAATGCCTCCTCTGCCTCTGCACTGCCTCCTCTACCTCCCCAGTGTCCCCCCACTGACTCTGCATCATGTCACTACATGAAACTTTTTATTCAGTGACCTCAGAAGGGAGGCTTTTGCTTAGTTTCTTTTAAGCCTTATAATCTAAGGATGGCAGAGAGGGCTGTGTTGAGTATCAGAGCAGCAGTGTGAGTAGATGTAGCCTAGAGACCAGAAGAACACTTTAGGTATCTGGCTGTTCTGGCCATCCACTGGTTCATCCCTTCCCAACACTTCCTCGATTACCTGTCTGTCAGTGCTGGGTGTAGCTGGTCTGGAGATCATGGCCTGCTATGACCATATTCCAGGACCTCCTTCCCACTTCCAGCACATGTAGCTAGGCACCTCACAGGAACTGTGCCATCACTGCCTCATCCCCAAGTGCCAAGTGAGGCCCATGAACTCACCCTGGCCTTCTGGCTTGAGGACTCACAGAGGCATTGCCGTCAGCTCACAGCGTCCTAATCTCTAAGTCATCACAAGCCTTTGTCCTTGGGACAGCCTCTCTCTGCTCACAGGTGCGTTTCTTCCTGTGTCTGTACTGTTCTGGGAGTTTAGGGACTGAGGCTGATCACCTGTGCTCTTCACATGTTTCTCTGCCTGTTTTAACAAGTTCCTGGTTCTGTTGCAGGTAACAATGTAGCAGTTGCAACAATCAAATCGGTAGATTCCTGAAATGCTGTGGGGAGGTCCGTGGGAGCTTCAGAAGCTGACGATTAGTTAATAATGAGCTGCCAAGCTGTCCCCGGGAGCAGTGGCTTCAGGCATGGACAGCGAACTGAATTTTTGAGGTTCCAGTGCAACGGGGACCAAGGATCTCTAAGTAGCTCTCCCCTCCCAGGACAGACCACTTCCCAGGAGAGACAGACTGCCTCCCAGGATGTATCACAGACCACTCCTCTGTGCACCACCATCCTTTAGTATGTATTTAGGATATATCCCTGTAGAGAGAACCAACTACCATTTGTTGCTGTTTTTTTTCTCCTTCAAGATGAGAGTAACAGCACTTCCTCTTGTCGGGTATAACCGAGTGAGGTGAGAGAGTCGCCGAGCCTGGCGCCTGCCATGTTGCTATTGCTCAGACTCTGTACCAGCTATTTTAGGATCCCGCCGTCTTTTCTCTCCATGCACAGCCCTCTGCTGTTTGGCTTGCTGTGGTTATATACGCATGGTGCTGTGGCTCTCGTGTTTTGCATGATGGCCCAGAACCTTCCCTAAGTATCTTCCCAGCCAGATATCCCTTCCCAGGAGACTGTCTGCTGTGCTCAGAACTGCTCTGTGATCTGCCCGTGTGTCTGCTCATGCTCAGCTAGAGGATCTACCTCCTCACCAGGCTCTGCCGCTCTCTCCCAACGCTATCCTTCCCAGTGCTGTGTCTTTGAGAATAGATTTAAGATGAGGTTCTTGGGTAGGAATGGGAGTTTCCTGACACACCAATCCCACAAAGAGGGTTTTTTTTTTTTTTTTTAAGGGCTGGAAAATTCCCTATGGAGAGGTCTTTGCTCCCTGGCCCTATGAGATTACTGAAGATATGGTTTCTGGACTGAAGGCCAGACCCAACGTTTCTGTGCCTGGCTCTGTTGAGTCTGACCTATATCTACAGGGAGATAGAGAGGGCAGGGGGCTTAGCGCTGGGAGTAAGTCAGCCCATTGTGGGAAACCTGACTAGGACCTTTGTGCCCATCTGAAGAGGAAGGCTCAAGACTTGTAGTAAGGTAGCTGGTAGGTGTGCAGCCTACTCCTCAGAGAGAGTGCAGCTGTGACGGGATGTGATGACAGCAACTGAAATTAGGGGCCCAGCGGAGCTACAGGCACTTCAGAGAGCAGCAGTCCCTATGCCCCACTGTAGGATTTCTGTCAGGAGGGACCCTTTGCCGGGTCACAGCAACCAGGGATCAGCCATAGGCACAGGAGACTCCCCACTGCTGGGACCGAGAACATTACCACCCACTGTCCTGCCCACCCACAGCCTGTCACTTCACTCCTCCAGAATGCTTGCGGGCACGTTGCCCAGGCAACCAGAATGCCAGCATGTTGCTACCCTTCAGTCTCCTTCAAGCACCTGTGAAGCCTGTGCAGCTACATCTCCCTGGCCCCAGAGTCATTGTTTGCTCCCAGGAGGCAGCAGTGGCCTGGGCTTGGTCGGTTCCAAGAAGGCAAGAAGTCACATGGCCCCAGAGCATCTACAAAGAGCTTAGCTAACAGCACTGGCCATGGTACCCCGAGTGTACCTTTTAAAGAGCTTCCTGAGTTTGTCCTGCTTTGTAGGTAGGGAAACTGAGGCACAGAACAATTATGTAAATTGCCCATCCCCCAGCCATGCCAAGGCATAGACCACCCTCTCAGGCTGCCTTCACTCTTGCCATGATGTCCCAAAAAGAGCAGTGTTTCACCTCGGCCGTCTCCCTTTACAAACTCACATCCTCGGTGCCCCCAAATTATCAGAGCCCGACTCTTGGACATCTATACAACCCCACCGCCCCATAGATCAAGTGCATTAAAATCCAGAAAAAACTGGCACAGTTGAAAGTAGCCTTAGGTAGTCAGAAGCTGCATACAGAGTTAGGTAGAATCTTGCAGGGATCCTAAACCCAAACTAGCAGATTGGAATATGGTATGTTGCAGCAGCTATGGGGTTGTGACAAGGGGGAGCCTGTGGTGTGCTCTGTCACACCAGGGGAAACTGGGGGGAGAATCTCTAGAACAAGCTGTTCTCTTGCAACTTCTGTGTAAAACTGGAAGTATTCTGAGGTGAGCAGGGTTCTTAAGTTCACAGAGATGGGGAACAGCCAGGAAGTGTCTGGGTATGGGGTCATGGTTCTTCTGCCTCATCCCAGATGAGCCCCAGGATAAGGGGTATCCCGATCAAGCATGAGAGAGGGCAGGCTTACACAAAGCGGACGAGAGGACACATCTTTCAGCACTTGTCTCTGTAACTGTCTCCCTGAGCTTATTCTCAGCATGTCTGGGCGTTACTGATCATGGAAGGTTGGATCTTGGTCGAAGATTCCACACTCCTTAGCTATCTTGTGTTGGCGGTGTGAGAACAGAGCCTTTAAGGGTTGATTCCTATCAACTGGCTAACATCTACGGCAGACAACATAGCAGGGTGAAGAGCCTGGGCTAACACAGCAGGTGCAGCTCCTGAAGTGAGCACGGCAGCAGAAGCAGAATGGACTCGCCACCTCTTGGCAACTCTGACACCTTATGCTACCTGAAGTTTCCAGGGACCACATAATGTCAGGGCCTCACACTTCCAACTCCCCTGACTGTGTGCCCCACCAAGAGAGAAACCTGCTGTTTCCTGTTTCCTGGGGAGCACATGCTGTCACATCTGGGCCCCCAGGAGGGTGTGTCTGTGGGGGAAGAGATGTCTTTGTCTCTCTTAATTGACAGTGATTTTCTTCCATGGAGAAACTCTGCGGAAGGGAGTTGAATTGAACCGCAATCCACTGAATCTTATTAAACCAGTCTTGGGGAAAAGTGATTTCAATAAAAATTTAAAAGGAAGAGAAGCGAGGAGTGGCAAAGTAGCAAATAGAAGCAGAAGGGCGCAAACGGTGTGCATGGCTTGCGGGTTCTGCGTTTCCTCTGCACGGTGTCCTTGGAGATGAACAAGAGGTGACTGTCAAGAGACTCATCCTCAAAGGGGTGGGTGTAGGTTTCTGCATTCAAGCAAGGAGGGTCCTTAACTCCTGGGGATTCCCACCAAGCCCACTACAGTCAGACTGAGTCTCCACAGCACACAAGTACCTTGCCTGTGACTCAGAAGGTTGCTGGAGGCTCTCTGGTTTGTAGCCAGGGTCCAGGATCGGAAGGTCGCAGAGATTCTCCACATTCGTTCATATTGCACTCTGTGTGTGTGTGTCTGTCTGTCTGTCTGTCTCTGTCTGTCTGTCTGTCTGTCTGTCTCTATCTCTCTCTGTCTTCCTCCCTCCCTCCCGGGTCCAGTTCCCCTTTGCTGTTATTGAGATGTAATCTACATGCAATTAAATTCATTGTTTTTCGAGGGCGTGGTCCGGTGGTTTTGTAAGATGTGTAGCCACCACTGTAGCGAATTCCAGAACATTCCATTACCCCCAAAAGAACCACTCCAGGAGGCAGTCACTCCAAAACAGTCCCTTTCCTGTGCTCCCCAGTAGCCACCAATCTCCACGTGGTCTCGGGGGATCCTTCATCTGCTTGTGACCCTACTCCTAGCTCCCTTGCCTTGGCATGGGTTTCTAAGGCTCCTGATGTGGTGACAGCATGCTACTCTGTGCCTGGATGTGTCCCGTGTGCCTGTCTGTTAGGAGATGCTTGCGGTGTTTACATTCTTGGCTACTGAAGATCATGAGCATACAGCCATGTACTATAAGTCAGTAATTGCTGCGCCAGTGGTAGCTCTGATTTTCTCAGGGAATCAACGTTGTCTCCAGTCACCATGCCCGTTCATTCTCACCGTGTGCACTGAGGTACTACTCCCTCAGCGCCATCTTCAGTACTTGCTTGATGTGACCTATCTTTGCCTCGAGGTTTAAAAGGCATGACATATTCTGCAGGGCCCAGTTCAATGTCCTGGGGTTTCTACCTGGCCTTCTGGGTGAACATGTGGCCTGTTGGCACTGATGGGCTAATAGTTGCAAGGCCTCATGTGTCATCTGGGCGGATAGTGGGCAGCTGACAATGCCTTGGTACCTTCCTGAAGTGGGGTCCTCCAAGAACAGCTTCACGTTGTAGCTGAGCACACCTGAGGGACCCCCTTCCCTCTGTACTGAGCCCCCCTGGGAGGTTTGCAGGAGGCACGAGAAGAGGAGATACTGGTAGGTTGATTGGTTTACAGGGTTCCTAAATCACTCAGGTATGTCCCCTGCAGACCAGAGTTGTCCCTGATGTCACAGCTGTGAGATCAGGCCTCATACAGAGCTTGAAATCTCTATAGTCCAGTAGGACAAGGCCTGGTCCTAGCTGACAGCCACTTCCCCTAGGCTGCCCTCCGTTTTCCTTCTGAGCAAATGCATCCCTTTACAAGGGAGCCCCTAGGCTGAGGGGGAGCAGGGTATCCGCCTCCCCAGCTTCACTGCCATAGTTGAGTTTTCTGCATAACAGCTGGGTGTCTTGGAAATGAGAAGGTTTCTATGGTAACCAATTACAGCCCATGATTGGTGAAAAATCACAGAAATATCCTGTGTGTGAAGTTATGCCGGGGAGGCAGGCCCAGACTTAGGTACTGAGGTTTTAATTTCCTGGGGTGATATTTCTCCGAGTTCTGATGGGAAGCAATACTTCCCAGCCAGCCTGCCTGGTGGGGCTGGGAGAGGCCTAGAGGGGCCAGGTGGGGGGATCTGGTGGGGACCTGCTGGCTTCTGGTGTAATTTGGACTTACTGAGTTTTAGTGAGGTGTGATGGAGCCTGCTGAGGCCAGGCCAGGTGTAGGGGAGCTAGAAGGGCCGGGTTAGAGGTCAGAGTGGAATTACTGGAGTCTGCACGGGTCGCCAAGGCAGCTGGGATCTGGGTACAGGTGCTGATGGGGTCAGGAGGGGCTTGGGAGGACCTAGCAGGGTTTCTTGGATCCAGAGGGGTTTGCTGGGTTCTGGTGGAGTCTGGTAAGGCCAAGTGGAGCCCAGAAGGATGTGGTAAGACTTGGTGGGGTCTGGTGGGACCTGAGGGACAACCTAGTGTTCCAGTAAAATCTGGTAGCATCTAAGGAGTCCTGAGGGGCCCAGGGGCCCTAGTGCAGCATGGAGGAAACAATGGGGTCTGGTAGGGTCTAATGGGGCCCCAAAGGTCTTGGTAAGGTTTGGCAGTGACTAGTGGAGCCTGGTGGGGTTTGGTTGCCTAGAAACGCTGGCAAGGCTTGGTGAAGCCCAGAAGACCTGATAGGGCCAATGAGGCCTCACATTACTCATGAGATACTCAGAGCATCTCATTACAGAGAGGCAGACTCCCATCCTGATACACAGGCATGGAGGAGACCCGAGGTCCTCACCAGTCCATCCCCACAGGGTCACCCGAGGCTCTGAAGAGATGGCATCCCGAGGGCAGGGGAGTCTCACCACTGGCCTAGATCTCGCCTCACAGTGGTGACAACCCTGTCCCTACTAGAGCTCAGCTGCTCTTGCAGAGAAAGGACACAAAGGTAGAGGCAGCTCAGAGGTATCCACCTAATGAGCAAGTCCTCCTTCCGTCGGCAAAGCTCTCTCACCCTGATTAAAAAGCCAGGCCGTATTATTTGGGGACCAGTCCCTTTTTTGCTAATTAGTCCCAGCAAACCCAAGTTCTTTTCTCAGGGACCACCTCCTTCCCAAGCAGCGGTGCGTGTCAGCCTCAGGCACATGGGGTTCAGCACCAGAACAGACTGAGAAGGAACGCAAGCAATCCTTGAGCAGTGACATACAATGAAGGACAAACAAGGACACATTTGCACGCTCGCCCTGACGTAGATCCACATTTGTGCCCGGTGACCCGTGGAGATGTATAGATGAGGGTACACTCACCAAGGAGCATGGATACACACATGGAGGCATACATGGATGGATGTAGTAGCACCTTCTTGCATGCTGGCCTCTCACACCTTGGGGAGAACTCATACCCCAGGGAGCAGTCACACCCAAGGAGCACTCATAACTCAGTGAGCACTCACACGACGGGGAGAACTCATATCCTGAGGAACACTCACACCCCAAGGAGGAGCACTCAGAACCAGGGAGCACTCACACCACGGGGAGCACTCAGAGACACACCACGCCCACACACGCTCAGTGTCACGCTGGCATATGCACTCACAAACTCCCTCCCTCCGACTGTCACGCACAAGCAGTCACACTCGACACTCCTGCACACCCACCTGAGTGTGCTCCACCCCCTGCCAGCACACACAGCCACGTGGACTTCACACACATACACAGTGGCACACCCTGACACAAGTAGTCACTTTTCAAAACACACACACACACACACACACACACACACGGCACCTTATAAAGGAAAACTACCCCACGTGTGTTGCTGGGCCTGGCGAGCGCAGCCGTGCAGGATGAGGCTCAGTGTTCCCTACGCCCTGCACCCCTCCCCCCACGCAGCCTCTGAGGAAGTTTGAGTTCGCTTCTAACTTTCTGATGTGAAGTTGATGCCTGAGAGCTGACTTTGAGTGGTGTCTATAATCAGTCTTCAATTACCTATGCAGGGAGCAAAAGGGAGCGTGGGCTGCGTCTTCCACGCCTGGCTGCGTGGGTCTGCGTACTCTTCTGGATTTTCATGTGGCGTTTCAGCATCCACGGGTTTAGAGGGGATTTGTGCCCAGCTAGTAGAGCTGCCCATGGACTCTGTATGGGGGGACTGTCCCAGCATGCCCCTGAGGAGCTATTGCCACTCTTCCCCCGACCCAGCAGGCTGAGAACCAGTTTTACCCGCTGCCCTGCTGTGCCCAGACTGGCCTTTCTGTCTCCGTCCCCAGCTGACGATGAGAAGTTTCCACAGGGCATCCACATTGGAGATAAACAGGAGGGGGGTAGGGATGGGTGTGGAAATGTCAGCAGAGTTTAGTACCGAAGCTCCCAGCTTCACCTGAGTGGCAGTCAGTTCCCACAGCAATACCCAGGGAAGGGCAGGCGTAGCAGCCTTGCTTGGCTGTGTCCAGGTGGAGTGCAAACCTGGGTACTCTCAGCTCAGTTAAGATGTGGGGATGTTCCCAGCTCTGCGGGGCGGATGCTGTCCCCCCCCCCCCGCCTTGGTATTGTGTCCCTGGAATCTCAGCTTCAATATAGACAAGTCTTCAAGGGTATTTTGCAAGATGGACACGGGAGGGGGACTTTGGTGGCTTGGTCCCTTGCCATGGAAAAGCTCTTAGGTTAGTACCCAGGAGGTGCCTGAGCTGGAAGCAGCTGTCTGGGCACTGTCCTTCTGCTATGTAGAGAAACACAGTGCATTTGAGCTGGCCCAGAAGGCTTCTGGAGTCCTTTCAAGGTTCAGACGAACTCTTTTTGCAGCCAAAGGTTGTCCCTGTCCAGTGTGTGTGTGTGTGTGTGAGGGGGGAGTAAATGTAGCCCTAGTCAGAGCCCTCCTGCTGCCCCACTGTGTGCTCACTGCTCTGCTGTCTCTCCTCAGCTCCATGTCCATCCGCTGGCCCGGCCGCTCTCTCGGAAGCCATGCCTGGATACTGATAGCCATGCTGCAGCTCGTGGTTGACTTCCCATCCTGTGACTCACTAGGCCCCGGGCCCGAGTTCCGGCTCCTGTCACGCTCACAGAGACCCCAGCGGCTGTGGAGTCTGCGAAGTGGACCCCCAACAAGGCTACCAACACCAGCCTGGAGTCCCCGTGCCGCCCGGGCCGAACGAGCCCACGGGCCCATACAGATGCAGACTCCTCGTGCTCGGAGGGCCCACAGGCCCAGGGACCAGGTAGCCACCCTCGGACCCAAAGGGGGACTCACTAAGCCCCCAGCTGCCACCAGGTCGAGCCCTTCCCTCACCTCTGCAACAACTTCATCCTCTATGGTGACTGCAGGGGGTGCCGAGCATCAGAGCCTCCTAAGACGAGGCAGGAGGCACACACACGATGCTGAGTTCAACGATTTCGACTTCCGTGGTGGCCGGCCCACGACAGAGACAGAATTCATAGCCTGGGGGCCCACGGGGGACGAGGACGCACTGGAATCCAACACCTTCCCTGGTGGTTTTGGCCTCACCACGGTCTCTGTTCTGCAAACACGGAAGACAACTGTGGCCACCACCACCACCACCACCACAGCCAGCACGGCCACCGCCATGACACTGCAGACTAAGGGGGTCACCGAGTCCCTGGATCCCTGGAAAAGGACCCCTGTTGGGGTTAGCACAACGGAGCCTTCCACTAGTCCCAGCAACAATGGGAAAGACATCCAGCCCCCCAGGATCTTGGGGGAGACCTCAGGTAGGAGACTTCTTTGTATTTCTGCTCTGACTTGGGGAGAGGCAGGATGAAGGGTGGTTTGGAGCAGGGAGACACTGAGATGTGCTGGGTAGTGTACTTTAAACAGAGGCAGAGAGAACCGTTAAGCATGGACCGCAGGCACGGGTTGGGTGCTGTGTGTGTGTGTGTGTGTGTGTGTGTGTGCAGTACAGCATCTTCAGTGCCTACCTACAGCACACCTAGGCTGCAGTCTCCTGTGCACTTCACACCCCAGTGTTAAAGGACCATATCATCTTCCAGAACTTCAAGAGTGTCAGCCCTTTGGGGCTGGTTAATTGCTAGATGGAACTGTCCCATGGTTAGGGATGACCTTGGACAGCCAGAAAGACTAAGGCCAGATAAGGGGAAGAACTCCCAGCACTGCTGACTGAAGCTCTGCAGACACGATTTAGCTCTGCCCTCAGGGATGAGTTGGAGGAGGAGACATGATGAAAGGCTTTGGCACACACCTCCCCCCAACCCCGAGTCCTCTTCTTTGGCTGTGTGGACAGTAGCCACACACTTGGATGGAGACATCTCCTTCTGTGCGGTTTGGTACACCTTCTTTCATGCCTTATTCTCTAATGGCTGCAACAAGAGTAATTCTGGCCATGTCCCAGGCCAGAGTTTGTCCCTATGCCAGCAGTTATAGGGGCGAAGAGAGAGATGTCAGCTAGAGCCCCTCCCACAAGCCCCAGCGTCTGCCTCTGTTGACAAGCATGCCCGTGGTGACAAGGAAGTTCAGAAAGGCATGTTGTGGACAACACCTCCCACAAACGGCAGCATTTGCTGACACTCCAGAGTGGGGAGAAGATCCCAGGGCATCAGAACGAACGAGTGTCGGGTGGTGAGGAGCGGCCTCCTTAAGACTTCCATGTGCGAGTGACGGGAGGGAGGAGGGACAAACAGTGGGAGGGAGGAGGGACAGACAGCTCCTGAGGCCCACAGTGGGCAATTGGCACAGTGTCTCTGCTCCTGGTTTTGCTCTGCCTGTGCCTCCTCTGACCTTGGGCGAGCAGACATCCGCTCACACTTGGACAAGTTTTTACGGGGTAAACAGTCTTTTGCCCTTGAGGTACCAACACCTTTCTTTCCTTCACCAAGTAGCGGGGCCACTGGTTTTCCCTGCAGCACCTTGGTCCTCTTGGGGAGCTTGCCTGAGAAAGCAGAGCCAGCCTCTCGTCCCATCCCAAGGCCAAGGGCAGGGCTAAGCGTGACAGCTCCTGGGAAGCTGATAAAGCAGGCTTTGTAGGCAGATTGCAGCCTCTCTGGGGAGCCCATGGGGTAGCCTCTGGAACACACAGTGTAGATGGTGGGGGGAGGGGGGAACCTCGAATGCTTGTCCATCTCAGGACTGGACTCTTGCATGCAATTCTCTTAGAGTCTGTTTTAACCTCTACCATCAACCATAATCATAACGGAATTTGGTGCTCCTCTCGCTGAGTGTCACCTCCCCCGCCCCGAATACGTCACTTACCGTAAAGACACGGATGAGGAAACAAGTCCCCATTTGTCCCAAATTACATCTGCTATTACAAACACTAAACACCCGGGACAACACTGTGAGGCTTAGCAAATTAACTCACGGTACGTCGGCTGTCGCTAATCCAACCCGACAGATGCTTATCTCCGGGAAGATTTATGGCTCTCCATAATATAATCTGCCACTATATTAATCTGTTTAGCAAAAAACAGATTCAGAAGAGGGGAAAATATGTGTGCTTGCCACGAATGCAGAGGAATGCAAGGCATCGAAGCAAGAAGGCAGGCTTCTGAGCTGGCCCTGGAGACTGGACCTTGGAGGCTCAGCAGAGGAGGGGAGGGACTTGGGGGGAACTGGCCGTGGTGCTGAATATGGGCGTGTTCTTGGATGACTGAGGGAAGGCTGCATAGCCTCCTATCCTTGTAAGATTCCTGGGTGGAGAGATGCCTAGAGGGAAGTCTGACTGTTTTGATCCTTCGGCCTCCAGAAGACAGACCCGGGCATTTCGCACACTGCAAAGGGCGACCCCACATACATTGTGTGGAATCTGAGGCAGAGGGATGCTGTGGAGGATCTCTTAGCTGTGACCCATGGCACCCTCCACGTGTGCAGCAAAAAGTTTTGGGGAGGGCTGAGGTCTGCCTGTGATCTGCCCTGTGGTCTCTGTGCTCAGTGCTGAGAGCAGAGGCTAGCTCCTGCAGGGAGCTCTCCATGCCTAGGTGCAGTTTTACACCCAGCTAGAGTATCTACAGAAAGCACTCAACCATTTCAGAGACAGAATACTCAGCAGGGACCGGAGGGCCGTGCCATCGTCCCCCAGATTTGCCCAGATCCTGCTGATGGCACCCAAGGAACTTGGACCCAGGCTTCCGTGCAGTCAGTTGTGCTCTACACAGAGGCATCTTTGGAGTTTGGCTTGGGAATTGGGTAGGTTGGGATTCTCACTTCTGTGTAGAACAATCTGTGAAGGGTCGGGCTACATGCTCCCGTACCTGCCTGAGGCCAGGACGTTCCTGTGGGTTATGTGGGATTGCCACTTCAGCAACTCTGGAATTACTCAGAGCCTCGGGTTAAAAGAGCAGCTGCCGGGATTTCTAGAAAACTCTCTCTGATGCAGATGACAGGTCAGACAGCAGGGGAACTAACCCTGGGATTTAGAGTCATAACCTCGGTCGACGTGGTCACCCATCTGCACAGAAACAAGACGTCGGTGAGATCGAAGTGCACACTTCCCTTCGGGAGCTTAGAGTCTAGCATGTGGCAGCTGTGTTTGGTGCTGTTAATGTCAGTATGAGGGTGGTCATTCATAGTAATGCTGATGATGCCGAAGATGGAGATGCCAATGACAGTGTTGGTGATGGTGGTGGTGGTGATGATGGTGATGGTGGTGATGATGGTGATGGTGAGGGTGATGATGATGGTGATGATGATGGTGAGGGTGATGATGGTGATGATGACCGGATGGCAACCTGAATGTAGATGACAGCAGTCACTCCAATTCATATCCTTGTGCTGATTGGCTACTATGAGCTCACGAAGTCCCAAGGCCTCATCTCTGACATTGATGCTCCCGCAGAGATGTGGCTGCTCTAGTCTGGGACAGCTTGGGATGGAAAATCACCCGGTCTATGAGCATAGAGGTGAGGAACAGAAGCAGAGGGCCAGCTGGGTCAGCACTTAGCCTGGGGCTGGGGCGGAGCGCTCCCTGCAGGGCAGCTCTGTCCACTGCCCACAGCCCTCTTACCTGTCCTGCTCACGCCAGGAACCAGAGTCTCCCAGGAGAAGCAGGAAGTCCTCGCCTGAGTTTTTGTGTTAAGTTCACAAAGGAGTTCATGGGGAGCCAAAGCCATCAGAGTTTGGCTAACAGATGTGCCCGCTCTGGGAACGCCTGGAGATGGGTGTTGACTGAGGTCGATGTGCCTGCGTGGTCGCTTGTGCCCATGATTCCCAGAGCACTCTGAGGAGTGAGATACTTTCCCCAGCTGGGAAGACCTGAAGGTGAAATACCTAGGCTGGCAGTCGGGCCTAGAAGACGGGGATCTCGCTGCAGGTCTCTCTCCTCCCGTCCACCCTGTCTTGTATCCATTCAGTCTCCGGGGATGATTTCCGGGTTGCTTTGTGCGTCTTACCACTGGGACTGGATGGCTTTTAGGTGCATCTTTAGTTAGCACTGGGGGTCGGGAGTCATTTTCTCAGTACCTCAATGGCCAACTGCTGGTCCCAGGGTCCCGCTGACAGCGAAGTGTCGTCTGGATGCTGGTGTCGGGTGGAAGGAAATGAGAAGCAGTTACATCTGTGAGGAGCCAGCTCCTTTGTTGGGAGGCACCGTGCCCATTTAAACAGCAAGCCCCTTTTAATTAAGTCGCTGGGTGCTTGCTACCGGGAAAGTGGATCTGTCCTTAATTTAATGGCGTCTGAAGTAAATGGCTCATGAACTTCAAAAGTTTTTCAGTGGATTAATTGGTAGAAGAGCATCAAAGAACAAAAGCAGTGTAGGAAACTCTGCAACATCCTAAGCTGTGGCCCCCAGAGTCTCTGCCTGGCATGTCTCAATAGACAAGGCCCAGGACACGCAAAAGCTGTGGGGCTGGAAGATGCCGTAAGATGCAGTACACGGCTGTTTATAGTCACAGATGAGGGTGCAGGATGGCCAAGCCACCCCCTGGTTCCACAGAGTCTGCTTTTGAGACTCCCTCCACCACTTACAGCGAGGTGGAGGGAGACTTGTTTCAGCTCTCCCCTCCTGGGGAGGGCTCAGGCTGCCTCTTTTCATTTCCAGTTTCGTGTGCTGCGGCCTTGGTTTATTGCGTTCAGCTAGTCTTCAGCTTCCCTCGTCCCCCAGAGGCTTGTTCTCCTTCTGAGAGCACACCAGCAGTGGGAAGCTCTCCCAGGCTGGCCCTGCCCACTGCCCGGCCTGAGCACAGGCTGACTTTCACTTCTTTCCCTGGCTGGGACCTAGAGAGCTGACTCTGTCTTCAGAGGGGTGGATATACAACAGTAGAGCCCAAAAGTCCTTCTGCCTAGAAAGCAGTTTCCTCTCTGAGGGCGAGGCTGCTGGGTAAGCAGGGCTGGGGAGTCTCCTGAGTGCACCCTGATGAATACATCTTACATTGCACATGTCACTAAATACTGCACTGGTAGCAACTCCGTGTAACATGCATACGGCTGAATGTATGGCTGTTATCTATGCCTGGGGAGCCATCCTGAGCACTGAGCTTAGGAATCGGATGGGATGCCGTTTTTAGTGTTGTCATTTGCTGGTATAAGAAGAGCAGCTTCAGAATCTCTGACTTGACCATTCATGAGCCAAACCATCAACCCTGTTGAGTTGATGTAAAAGGCTGTATCTCTGGTGGGCGTGGGTGGGGAGGCAGGGCAGTCTAGCCTCTTGTGCAATTTCCAAAGGGCTTAAAGATTGGGAAGTGAGACAGGTTACCAGGACACGCCCCTGCATAAGGACAGCAGAGTTGTCACAAAGCCACAACTTCCTGAGTGACAC